ACTCAATTAAGTGGCGTTACACATCAGAAAGGTTTGCATCATACATACAAAATCATTATCAAAACTCAAATGAGGTATGCCCTGCATGTCGCTAATTCTGTCAAGACATACAAACTAAAGAAGATGCTTTCAACTGATCGTATTGTTAAGCATCAGAACATTTTGAACGTAAAACGCTGATTGTCAAATCAATTTCCTAGGGGGCACCAGGATTTGAACCTGAGATCTGCAGTCAAATGGTCTACCACTGAGCTATACCCCCAAAATTGAACAAACATTTCTTGAAAAACAATCTCCCGATGATGCATTTAACTCAATTAAGTGGCGTTACACATCAGAAAGGTTTGCATCATACATACAAAATCATTATCAAAACTCAAATGAAGTATGCCCTGCATGTCGCTAATTCTGTCAAGACATACAAACTAAAGAAGATGCTTTCAACTGATCGTATTGTTAAGCATCAGAACATTTTGAACGTAAAACGCTGATTGTCAAATCAATTTCCTAGGGGGCACCAGGATTTGAACCTGAGATCTGCAGTCAAATGCTCTACCACTGAGCTATACCCCCAAAATTGAACAAACATTTCTTGAAAAACAATCTCCCGATGATGCATTTAACTCAATTAAGTGGCGTTACACATCAGAAAGGTTTGCATCATACATACAAAATCATTATCAAAACTCAAATGAAAATATGCCCTGCATGTCCCTGCTAATTCTGTCAAGACATACAAACTAAAGAAGATGCTTTCAACTGATCGTATTGTTAAGCATCAGAACATTTTGAACGTAAAACGCTGATTGTCAAATCATGTTCCTCGGGGGCACCAGGATTTCTAGGGGGCACCAGGATTTGAACCTGAGATCTGCAGTCAAATGGTCTACCACTGAGCTATACCCCCAAAATGTTGACAAACATTTCTTGAAAAACAAATGCTCCCGATGATGCATTTAACTCAATTAAGTGGCGTTACACATCAGAAAGGTTTGCATCATACATACAAAATCATTATCAAAACTCAAATGAGGTATGCCCTGCATGTCGCTAATTCTGTCAAGACATACAAACTAAAGAAGATGCTTTCAACTGATCGTATTGTTAAGCATCAGAACATTTTGAACGTAAAACGCTGATTGTCAAATCAATTTCCTAGGGGGCACCAGGATTTGAACCTGAGATCTGCAGTCAAATGCTTTACCACTGAGCTATACCCCCGATGTTGAACAAACATTTCTTGAAAAACAAGCTCCCGAAGATGCATTTAACTCAGTTAAGTGGCGTTACACATCAGAAAGGTTTGCATCATACATACAAAATCATTATCAAAACTCAAATGAAGTATGCCCTGCATGCCCTGCATGTCGCTAATTCTGTCAAGACATACAAACTAAAACTAAAGAAGATGCTTTCAACTGATCGTATTGTTAAGCATCAGAACATTTTGAACGTAAAACGCTGATTGTCAAATCAATTTCCTAGGGGGCACCAGGATTTGAACCTGAGATCTGCAGTCAAATGGTCTACCACTGAGCTATACCCCCAAAATTGAACAAACATTTCTTGAAAAACAATCAGAAAGGTTTGCATCATACATACAAAATCATTATCAAAACTCAAATGAGGTATGCCCTGCATGTCGCTAATTCTGTCAAGACATACAAACAAAGGAAGATGCTTTCAACTGATCGTATTGTTAAGCATCAGAACATTTTGAACGTAAAACGCTGATTGTCAAATCAATTTCCTAGGGGGCACCATGAGATCTGCAGTCAAATGCTCTACCACTGAGCTATACCCCCATGTTGAACAAACATTTCTTGAAAAACAAGCTCCCGATGATGCATCAGTTAAGTGGCGTTACACATCAGAAAGGAAAGGTTTGCATCATACATACAAAATCATTATCAAAACTCAAATGAAGGGTATGCCCTGCATGTCGCTAATTCTGTCAAGACATACAAACTAAAAAAGAAGATGCTTTCAACTGATCGTATTGTTAAGCATCAGAACATTTTGAACGTAAAAAACGCTGATTGTCAAATCAATTTCCTAGGGGGCACCAGGATTTGAACCTGAGATCTGCTGTCAAATGCTCTACCACTGAGCTATACCCCCAAAATTGAACAAACATTTCTTGAAAAACAAGCTCCCGATGATGCATTTAACTCAATTAAGTGGCGTTACACATCAGAAAGGTTTGCATCATACATACAAAATCATTATCAAAACTCAAATGAAGTATGCCCTGCATGTCGCTAATTCTGTCAAGACATACAAACTAAAGAAGATGCTTTCAACTGATCGTATTGTTAAGCATCAGAACATTTTGAACGTAAAAAAACGCTGATTGTCAAATCAATTTCCTAGGGGGCACCAGGATTTGAACCTGAGATCTGCAGTCAAATGCTCTACCACTGAGCTATACCCCCAAAATTGAACAAACATTTCTTGAAAAACAATCTCCCGATGATGCATTTAACTCAATTAAGTGGCGTTACACATCAGAAAGGTTTGCATCATACATACAAAATCATTATCAAAACTCAAATGAGGTATGCCCTGCATGTCGCTAATTCTGTCAAGACATACAAACTAAAGAAGATGCTTTCAACTGATCGTATTATTGTTAAGCATCAGAACATTTTGAACGTAAAAAACGCTGATTGTCAAATCAATTTCTGGGGGCACCAGGATTTGAACCTGAGATCTGCAGTCAAATGGTCTACCACTGAGCTATACCCCCAATGTTGAACAAACATTTCTTGAAAAACAAGCTCCCGATGATGCATTTAACTCAATTAAGTGGCGTTACACATCAGAAAGGTTTGCATCATACATACAAAATCATTATCAAAACTCAAATGAAGTATGCCCTGCATGTCGCTAATTCTGTCAAGACATACAAACTAAAGAAGATGCTTTCAACTGATCGTATTGTTAAGCATCAGAACATTTTGAACGTAAAACGCTGATTGTCAAATCAATTTCCTAGGGGGCACCAGGATTTGAACCTGAGATCTGCAGTCAAATGGTCTACCACTGAGCTATACCCCCAAAATTGAACAAACATTTCTTGAAAAACAATCAGAAAGGTTTGCATCATACATACAAAATCATTATCAAAACTCAAATGAGGTATGCCCTGCATGTCGCTAATTCTGTCAAGACATACAAACTAAAGAAGATGCTTTCAACTGATCGTATTGTTAAGCATCAGAACATTTTGAACGTAAAACGCTGATTGTCAAATCAATTTCTAGGGGGCACCAGGATTTGAACCTGAGATCTGCAGTCAAATGCTCTACCACTGAGCTATACCCCCGATGTTGAACAAACATTTCTTGAAAAACAAGCTCCCGATGATGCATTTAACTCAATTAAGTGGCGTTACACATCAGAAAGGTTTGCATCATACATACAAAATCATTATCAAAACTCAAATGAAGTATGCCCTGCATGTCGCTAATTCTGTCAAGACATACAAACTAAAGAAGATGCTTTCAACTGATCGTATTGTTAAGCATCAGAACATTTTGAACGTAAAACGCTGATTGTCAAATCAATTTCCTAGGGGGCACCAGGATTTGAACCTGAGATCTGCAGTCAAATGGTCTACCACTGAGCTATACCCCCGATGTTGAACAAACATTTCTTGAAAAACAAACATTTCTTGAAAAACAATCTCCCGATGATGCATTTAACTCAATTAAATTTCTGTGGCGTTAAACATTTCAAAAACAAGCTCAGAAAGGTTTGCATCATACATACAAAAAATCATTATCAAAACTCAAATGAGTCAAGACATACAAACTAAAGAAGATGCTTTCAACTGATCGTATTGTTAAGCATCAGTGCATGTCGCTAATTCTGTCAAGACATACAAACTAAAGAAGATGCTTTCAACTGATCGTATTGTTAAGCATCAGAACATTTTGAACGTAAAACGCTGATTGTCAAATTTTCTAGGGGCAAATTTGAACCTGAGACCTCTGCAGTCAAATGCTCTACCACTGAGCTATACCCCCAAAAACAAACATTTCTTGAAAAACAAGCTCCCGAAGATGCATTTAACTCAATTAAGTGGCGTTACACATCAGAAAGGTTTGCATCATACATACAAAATCATTATCAAAACTCAAATGAGGTATGCCCTGCATGTCGCTAATTCTGTCAAGACATACAAACTAAAGAAGATGCTTTCAACTGATCGTATTGTTAAGCATCAGAACATTTTGAACGTAAAACGCTGATTGTCAAATCAATTTCCTAGGGGGCACCAGGATTTGAACCTGAGATCTGCAGTCAAATGCTCTACCACTGAGCTATACCCCCAATGTTGAACAAACATTTCTTGAAAAACAAGCTCCCGATGATGCATTTAACTCAATTAAGTGGCGTTACACATCAGAAAGGTTTGCATCATACATACAAAATCATTATCAAAACTCAAATGAAGTATGCCCTGCATGTCGCTAATTCTGTCAAGACATACAAACTAAAGAAGATGCTTTCAACTGATCGTATTGTTAAGCATCAGAACATTTTGAACGTAAAACGCTGATTGTCAAATCAATTTCCTATTTGAACCTGAGATCTGCAGTCAAATGGTCTACCACTGAGCTATACCCCCAAAATTGAACAAACATTTCTTGAAAAACAATCTCCCGATGATGCATTTAACTCAATTAAGTGGCGTTACACATCAGAAAGGTTTGCATCATACATACAAAATCATTATCAAAACTCAAATGAAGTATGCCCTGCATGTCGCTAATTCTGTCAAGACATACAAACTAAAGAAGATGCTTTCAACTGATCGTATTGTTAAGCATCAGAACATTTTGAACGTAAAACGCTGATTGTCAAATCAATTTCCTAGGGGGCACCAGGATTTGAACCTGAGATCTGCAGTCAAATGCTGATTGTCTACCAGTCAAATGCTCTGAGCTATACCCAAAATTGAACAAACATTTCTTGAAAAACAAGCAACAAACATTTCTTTTGAAAAACAAGCTCCCGATGATGCATTTAACTCAATTAAGTGGCGTTACACATCAGAAAGGTTTGCATCATACATACAAAATCATTATCAAAACTCAAATGAAAACTCATGCCCTGCATGTCGCTAATTCTGTCAAGACATACAAACTAAAGAAGATGCTTTCAACTGATCGTATTGTTAAGCATCAGAACATTTTGAACGTAAAACGCTGATTGTCAAATCAATTTCTAGGGGGCACCAGGATTTGAACCTGAGATCTGCAGTCAAATGGTCTACCACTGAGCTATACCCCCAAAATTGAACAAACATTTCTTGAAAAACAATCTCCCGATGATGCATTTAACTCAATTAAGTGGCGTTACACATCAGAAAGGTTTGCATCATACATACAAAATCATTATCAAAACTCAAATGAAGTATGCCCTGCATGTCGCTAATTCTGTCAAGACATACAAACTAAAGAAGATGCTTTTCAACTGATCGTATTGTTAAGCATCAGAACATTTTGAACGTAAAACGCTGATTGTCAAATCAATTTCCTAGGGGCACCAGGATTTGAACCTGAGATCTGCAGTCAAATGCTCTACCACTGAGCTATACCCCCAAAATGAACAAACATTTCTTGAAAAACAAGCTCCCGATGATGCATTTAACTCAATTAAGTGGCGTTACACATCAGAAAGGTTTGCATCATACATACAAAATCATTATCAAAACTCAAATGAGGTATGCCCTGCATGTCGCTAATTCTGTCAAGACATACAAACTAAAGAAGATGCTTTCAACTGATCGTATTGTTAAGCATCAGAACATTTTGAACGTAAAACTGCTGATTGTCAAATCAATTTCAAACTAGGGGGCACCAGGATTTGAACCTGAGATCTGCAGTCAAAAATGCTCTACCACTGAGCTGATAAATCAATTTCCCCAAATGCTCTACCACTGAGCTATACCCCCAAAATGTTGAACAAACATTTCTTGAAAAACAAGCTCCCGATGATGCATTTAACTCAATTAAGTGGCGTTACACATCAGAAAGGTTTGCATCATACATACATACAAAATCATTATCAAAACTCAAATGAAGTATGCCCTGCATGTCGCTAATTCTGTCAAGACATACAAACTAAAGAAGATGCTTTCAACTGATCGTATTGTTAAGCATCAGAACATTTTGAACGTAAAAAACGCTGATTGTCAAATCAATTTCCTAGGGGGCACCAGGATTTGAACCTGAGATCTGCAGTCAAATGGTCTACCACTGAGCTATACCCCCAAAATTGAACAAACATTTCTTGAAAAACAATCTCCCGATGATGCATTTAACTCAATTAAGTGGCGTTACACATCAGAAAGGTTTGCATCATACATACAAAATCATTATCAAAACTCAAATGAAGTATGCCATGCATGTCGCTAATTCTGTCAAGACATACAAACTAAGGAAGATGCTTTCAACTGATCGTATTGTTAAGCATCAGAACATTTTGAACGTAAAACTGATTGTCAAATTGTCAAATCAATTTCCTAGGATCTGCAGGCAATGCTCTACCAGGATTTGAACAAACATTTCTTGAAAAACATTTATCTGCAGTCAAATTTGCATCTACCACTGAAGCTATACCAAATACCCTGCAAACCTGAGATCTACCAGTCAAATGGTCTACCACTGCTATACCCCCAAAATTGAACAACATTTCTTGAAAAACAAGCTCCCGATGCATTTAACTCAATTAAGCATTTAACTCAAAACTCAAAAGGTTTGAATGATGCAAATCAATTTCATTTAACTCAGTTAAATGTGGCGTTACACATCAGAAAGGTTTGCATCATACATACAAAATCATTATCAAAACTCAAATGAGTATGCCCTGCATGTCGCTAATTCTGTCAAGACATACAAACTAAAGAAGATGCTTTCAACTGATCGTATTGTTAAGCATCAGAACATTTTGAACGTAAAATGCTGATTGTCAAATCAATTTCCTAGGGGGCACCAGGATTTGAACCTGAGATCTGCAGTCAAATGCTCTACCACTGAGCTATACCCCCAATATTGAACAAACATTTCTTGAAAAACAAGCTCCCGATGATGCATTTAACTCAATTAAGTGGCGTTACACATCAGAAAGGTTTGCATCATACATACAAAATCATTATCAAAACTCAAATGAGGTATGCCCTGCATGTCGCTAATTCTGTCAAGACATACAAACTAAAGAAGATGCTTTCAACTGATCGTATTGTTAAGCATCAGAACATTTTGAACGTAAAACGCTGATTGTCAAATAAATTTCTGCAGTCAAATGCTCTACCACTGAGCTATACCCCCGATGTTGAACAAACATTTCTTGAAAAACAAGCTCCCGATGATGCATTTAACTCAATTAAGTGGCGTTACACATCAGAAAGGTTTGCATCATACATACAAAATCATTATCAAAACTCAAATGAATGCCCTGCATGTCGCTAATTCAAAATCATCAATCAAAACAAAAATGAAAACTATGCCCTGCATGTCGCTAATTCTGTCAAGACATACAAACTAAAGAAGATGCTTTCAACTGATCGTATTGTTAAGCATCAGAACATTTTGAACGTAAAACGCTGATTGTCAAATCAATTTCCTAGGGGGCACCAGGATTTGAACCTGAGATCTGCAGTCAAATGGTCTACCACTGAGCTATACCCCCAAAATTGAACAAACATTTCTTGAAAAACAATCTCCCGATGATGCATTTAACTCAATTAAGTGGCGTTACACATCAGAAAGGTTTGCATCATACATACAAAATCATTATCAAAACTCAAATGAAAGTATGCCCTGCATCATACATACAAAATCAATTCTGCATAATCAAGACATACAAACTAAAGAAGATGCTTTCAACTGATCGTATTGTTAAGCATCAGAACATTTTGAACGTAAAACGCTGATTGTCAAATCAATTTCTGCACCAGGATTTGAACCTGAGATCTGCAAAATGGTCTACCACTGAGCTATACCCCCAAAATTGAACAAACATTTCTTGAAAAACAAGCTCCCGAAAGATGCATTTAACTCAGTTAAGTGGCATTACACATCAGAAAGGTTTGCATCATACATACAAAATCATTATCAAAACTCAAATGAAGTATGCCCTGCATGTCCCTGCTAATTCTGTCAAGACATACAAACTAAAGGAAGATGCTTTCAACTGATCGTATTGTTAAGCATCAGAACATTTTGAACGTAAAACGCTGATTGTCAAATCAATTTCTAGGGGGCACCAGGATTTGAACCTGAGATCTGCAGTCAAAATGCTCTACCACTGAGCTATACCCCCCCATGTTGAACAAACATTTCTTGAAAAACAAGCTCCCGATGATGCATTTAACTCAATTAAGTGGCGTTACACATCAGAAAGGTTTGCATCATACATACAAAATCATTATCAAAACTCAAATGAAGGTATGCCCTGCATGTCGCTAATTCTGTCAAGACATACAAACTAAAGAAGATGCTTTCAACTGATCGTATTGTTAAGCATCAGAACATTTTGAACGTAAAATTGTCGCTGATTGTCAAATCAATTTCTTGAAAAACTAGGGGGCACCAGGATTTGAACCTGAGATCTGCAGTCAAATGCTCTACCACTGAGCTATACCCCAGAAATGTTGAACAAACATTTCTTGAAAAACAAGCTCCCGAACAAACATGATGCATTTAACTCAATTAAGTGGCGTTACACATCAGAAAGGTTTGCATCATACATACAAAATCATTATCAAAACTCAAATGAAGTATGCCCTGCATGTCGCTAATTCTGTCAAGACATACAAACTAAGGAAGATGCTTTCAACTGATCGTATTGTTAAGCATCAGAACATTTTGAACGTAAAACGCTGATTGTCAAATCAATTTCCTAGGGGGCACCAGGATTTGAACCTGAGATCTGCAGTCAAATGGTCTACCACTGAGCTATACCCCCAAAATTGAACAAACATTTCTTGAAAAACAATCAGAAAGGTTTGCATCATACATACAAAATCATTATCAAAACTCAAATGAGGTATGCCCTGCATGTCGCTAATTCTGTCAAGACATACAAACTAAAGGAAGATGCTTTCAACTGATCGTATTGTTAAGCATCAGAACATTTTGAACGTAAAACGCTGATTGTCAAATCAATTTCCTAGGGGGCACCAGGATTTGAATTTCTGCAGTCAAATGCTCTACCACTGAGCTATACCCCCAAAATGTTGAACAAACATTTCTTGAAAAACAAGCTCCCGATGATGCATTTAACTCAATTAAGTGGCGTTACACATCAGAAAGGTTTGCATCATAGATACAAAATCATTATCAAAACTCTAATGAGGTATGCCCTGCATGTCGCTAATTCTGTCAAGACATACAAACTAAAGAAGATGCTTTCAACTGATCGTATTGTTAAGCATCAGAACATTTTGAACGTAAAACGCTGATTGTCAAATCAATTTCCTAGGGGGCACCAGGATTTGAACCTGAGATCTGCAGTCAAATGCTCTACCACTGAGCTATACCCCCAAAATTGAACAAACATTTCTTGAAAAACAAGCTCCCGATGATGCATTTAACTCAATTAAGTGGCGTTACACATCAGAAAGGTTTGCATCATACATACAAAATCATTATCAAAACTCAAATGAAGTATGCCCTGCATGTCGCTAATTCTGTCAAGACATACAAACTAAAGAAGATGCTTTCAACTGATCGTATTGTTAAGCATCAGAACATTTTGAACGTAAAACGCTGATTGTCAAATCAATTTCCTAGGGGGCACCAGGATTTGAACCTGAGATCTGCAGTCAAATGGTCTACCACTGAGCTATACCCCCAAAATTGAACAAACATTTCTTGAAAAACAATCTCCCGATGATGCATTTAACTCAATTAAGTGGCGTTACACATCAGAAAGGTTTGCATCATACATACAAAATCATTATCAAAACTCAAATGAAGTATGCCCTGCATGTCGCTAATTCTGTCAAGACATACAAACTAAAGAAGATGCTTTCAACTGATGGTTAAGCATCAGAACATTTTGAACGTAAAACGCTGATTGTCAAATGTATCTGCAGTCAAATGGTCTACCACTGAGCTATACCCCCAAAATTGAACAAACATTTCTTGAAAAACAATCAGAAAGGTTTGCATCATACATACAAAATCATTATCAAAACTCAAATGAGGTATGCCCTGCATGTCGCTAATTCTGTCAAGACATACAAACAAAGAAGATGCTTTCAACTGATCGTATTGTTAAGCATCAGAACATTTTGAACGTAAAACGCTGATTGTCAAATCAATTTCCTAGGGGGCACCAGGATTTGAACCTGAGACCTCTTGATCTGCAGTCAAATGCTCTACCACTGAGCTATACCCCCGATGTTGAACAAACATTTCTTGAAAAACAAGCTCCCGATGATGCATTTAACTCAATTAAGTGGCGTTACACATCAGAAAGGTTTGCATCATACATACAAAATCATTATCAAAACTCAAATGAAGTATGCCCTGCATGTCGCTAATTCTGTCAAGACATACAAACTAAAGAAGATGCTTTCAACTGATCGTATTGTTAAGCATCAGAACATTTTGAACGTAAAACGCTGATTGTCAAATCAATTTCCTAGGGGGCACCAGGATTTGAACCTGAGATCTGCAGTCAAATGGTCTACCACTGAGCTATACCCCCAAAATTGAACAAACATTTCTTGAAAAACAATCTCCCGATGATGCATTTAACTCAATTAAGTGGCGTTACACATCAGAAAGGTTTGCATCATACATACAAAATCATTATCAAAACTCAAATGAGGTATGCCCTGCATGTCGCTAATTCTGTCAAGACATACAAACTAAAGAAGATGCTTTCAACTGATCGTATTGTTAAGCATCAGAACATTTTGAACGTAAAACGCTGATTGTCAAATCAATTTCCTAGGGGGCACCAGGATTTGAACCTGAGATCTGCAGTCAAATGCTCTACCACTGAGCTATACCCCCGATGTTGAACAAACATTTCTTGAAAAACAAGCTCCCGATGATGCATTTAACTCAATTAAGTGGCGTTACACATCAGAAAGGTTTGCATCATACATACAAAATCATTATCAAAACTCAAATGAAGTATGCCCTGCATGTCGCTAATTCTGTCAAGACATACAAACTAAAGAAGATGCTTTCAACTGATCGTATTGTTAAGCATCAGAACATTTTGAACGTAAAACGCTGAGAGTTTTGATAATGATTTTGTATGTATGATGCAAACCTTTCTGATGTGTAACGCCACTTAATTGAGTTAAATGCATCATCGGGAGCTTGTTTTTCAGAAATGTTTGTTCAACATCGGGGGTATAGCTCAGTGGTAGAGCATTTGACTGCAGATCTCAGGTTCAAATCCTGGTGCCCCCTAGGAAATTGATTTGACAATCAGCGTTTTACGTTCAAATGTTCTGATGCTTAACAATTGAAAGCATCAGTTGAAAGCATCTTCCTTAGTTTTGATAATGTCTTGATTGTTTTTCAAGAAATGTTTGTTCAATTTTTGGGGGTATAGCTCAGACATGCAGGGCATACTTCATTTGAGTTTTGATAATGATTTTGTATGTATGATGCAAACCTTTCTGATGTGTAACGCCACTTAATTGAGTTAAATGCATCATCAGGAGATTGTTTTTCAAGAAATGTTTGTTCAATTTTGGGGTATAGCTCAGTGGTAGACCATTTGACTGCAGATCTCAGGTTCAAATCCTGGTGCCCCTAGGAAATTGATTTGACAATCAGCGTTTTTACGTTCAAAATGTTCTGATGCTTAACAATACGATCAGTTGAAAGCATCTTCCTTTGTTTGTATGTCTTGACAGAATTAGCAACATGCAGGGCATACTTCATTTGACTGTGTTTTGATATTGATTTGTATGTTTGATGCAAACCTTTCTGATGTGTAACGCCACTTAATTGAGTTGAATGCATCATCGGGAGCTTGTTTTTTAAGAGATGTTTGATCAACGTCGGGGGTATAGCTCAGTGGTAGAGCATTTGACTGCAGATCAAGAGGTCTCAGGTTCAAATCCTGGTGCCCCCTAGGAAATTGATTTGACAATCAGCGTTTTACGTTCAAAATGTTCTGATGCTTAACAATACGATCAGTTGAAAGCATCTTCTTTTGTTTGTATGTCTTGACAAAATATGTCTTGAGTTTTGAGAATGTATGATGCAAACCTTTCTGATGTGTAACATGCAGGGCATACAACTCATTAGAGTTTTGATAATGATTTTGGTGCCCCCTAGAAAATTGATTTGACAATCAGCGTTTACGCAAAATGTTCTGATGCTTTCGATGTTGAAAGCATCTTCGCCACTTAATTTGTTTTATGTCTTGACAGAAAGGGACATGTTTGTTTTGATAATGGTTTTGTATGTATGATGCAAACCTTTCTGATTGTTTTTCAAGAAATGTTTGTTCAATTTTGGGGGTATAGCTCAGTGGTAGACCATTTGAATTAGCGACATGCAGGGCATACTTCATTTGAGTTTTGATAATGATTTTGTATGTATGATGCAAACCTTTCTGATGTGTAACGCCACTTAATTGAGTTAAATGCATCATCGGGAGATTGTTTTTCAAGAAATGTTTGTTCAATTTTGGGGGTATAGCTCAGTGGTAGACCATTTGACTGCAGATCTCAGGTTCAAATGTTCTGAAATTGATTTGACAATCAGCGTTTTACGTTCAAAATGTTCTGATGCTTAACAATACGATCAGTTGAAAGCATCTTCTTTAGTTTGTATGTCTTGACAGAATTAGCGACATGCAGGGCATACTTCATTTGAGTTTTGATAATGATTTTGTATGTATGATGCAAACCTTTCTGATGTGTAACGCCACTTAATTGAGTTAAATGCATCATCGGGAGATTGTTTTTCAAGAAATGTTTGTTCAATTTTGGGGGTATAGCTCAGTGGTAGACCATTTGACTGCAGATCTCAGGTTCAAATCCTGGTGCCCCCTAGGAAATTGATTTGACAATCAGCGTTTTACGTTCAAAATGTTCTGATGCTTTACAATACAATCAGTTGAAAGCATCTTCTTTAGTTTGTATGTCTTGACAGAATTAGCGACATGCAGGGCATACCTCATTTGAGTTTTGATAATGATTTTGTATGTATGATGCAAACCTTTCTGATGTGTAACGCCACTTAATTGAGTTAAATGCATCATCAGGAGCTTGTTTTTCAAGAAATGTTTGTTCAATTTTGGGGGTATAGCTCAGTGGTAGACCATTTGACTGCAGATCTCAGGTTCAAAAACCTCCTGGTGCCCCCTGTTTGTTCAGGAAATTGATTTGACAATCAGCGTTTTACGTTCAAAATGTTCTGATGCTTAACAATACGATCAGTTGAAAGCATCTTCTTTGTTTGTATGTCTTGACAGAATTAGCGACATGCAGGGCATACCTCATTAGAGTTTTGATAATGGTTTTGTATGTTGATGATGCAAACCTTTCTGATGTGTAACGCCATCGAGATTAACTGAGAGTGGAACCATCTTCTGATTGTTTTTCAAGAAATGTTTGTTCAACATTGGGGGGTATAGCTCAGTGGTAGTTTGACTGCAATTTTTTGACTGCAGATCATCCTGGTGCCCCCTAGGAAATTGATTTGACAATCAGCTTTTACGTTCAAAATGTTCTGATGCTAACAATACGATCAGTTGAAAGCATCTTCCTTTTGTTTGTATGTCTTGACAGAATTAGCGACATGCAGGGCATACTTCATTTGAGTTTTGATAATGATTTTGTATTTTTGGGGGTATATGATGCAAACCTTTCTGATGTGTAACGCCACTTAATTGAGTTAAATGCATCATCGGGAGATTGTTTTTCAAGAAATGTTTGTTCAATTTTGGGGTATAGCTCAGTGGTAGACCATTTGACTGCAGATCTCAGGTTCAAATCCTGGTGCCCCTAGGAAATTGATTTGACAATCAGCGTTTTACGTTCAAAATGTTCTGATGCTTAACAATACGATCAGTTGAAAGCATCTTCCTTAGTTTGTATGTCTTGACAGAATTAGCGACATGCAGGGCATACTTCATTTGAGTTTTGATAATGATTTTGTATGTATGATGCAAACCTTTCTGATGTGTAAAGCCACTTAAAGGATCTGAGTTAAATGCATCATCGGGAGCTTGTTTTTCAAGAAATGTTTGTTCAACATTTGGGGGTATAGCTCAGTGGTAGAGCATTTGACTGCAGATCAAGAGGTCAGGTTCAAATCCTGGTGCCCCTAGGAAATTGATTTGACAATCAGCGTTTTACGTTCAAAATGTTCTGATGCTTAACAATACGATCAGTTGAAAGCATCTTCTTTAGTTTGTATGTCTTGACAGAATTAGCGACATGCAGGGCATACCTCATTTGAGTTTTGATAATGATTTTGTATGTATGATGCAAACCTTTCTGATTGTTTTTCAAGAAATGTTTGTTCAATTTTGGGGGTATAGCTCAGTGGTAGACCATTTGACTGCAGATCTCAGGTTCAAATCCTGGTGCCCCCTAGAAATTGATTTGACAATCAGCGTTTTACGTTCAAAATGTTCTGATGCTTAACAATACGATCAGTTGAAAGCATCTTCCTTAGTTTGTATGTCTTGACAGAATTAGCGACATGCAGGGCATACTTCATTTGAGTTTTGATAATGATTTTGTATGTATGATGCAAACCTTTCTGATGTGTAACGCCACTTAATTGAGTTAAATGCATCATCGGGAGATTGTTTTTCAAGAAATGTTTGTTCAATTTTGGGGGTATAGCTCAGTGGTAGACCATTTGACTGCAGATCTCAGGTTCAAATCCTGGTGCCCCCTAGGAAATTGATTTGACAATCAGCGTTTTACGTTCAAAATGTTCTGATGCTTTACAATACAATCAGTTGAAAGCATCTTCTTTAGTTTGTATGTCTTGACAGAATTAGCGACATGCAGGGCATACTTCATTTGAGTTTTGATAATGATTTTGTATGTATGATGCAAACCTTTCTGATGTGTAACGCCACTTAATTGAGTTGAATGCATCATCGGGAGCTTGTTTTTCAAGAGATGTTTGTTCAACGTCGGGGGTATAGCTCAGTGGTAGAGCATTTGACTGCAGATCTCAGGTTCAAATCCTGGTGCCCCCTAGGAAATTGATTTGACAATCAGCGTTTTACGTTCAAAATGTTCTGATGCTTAACAATACGATCAGTTGAAAGCATCTTCTTTTGTTTGTATGTCTTGACAGAATTAGCGACATGCAGGGCATACCTCATTAGAGTTTTGATAATGGTTTTGTATGTATGATGCAAACCTTTCTGATTGTTTTTCAAGAAATGTTTGTTCAATTTTGTAACGCCACTTAACTGAGTTAAATGCATCATCGGGAGCTTGTTTTCAAGAAATGTTTGTTCAATTTTGGGGGTATAGCTCAGTGGTAGACCATTTGACTGCAGATCTCAGGTTCAAATCTGGTGCCCCCTAGAAATTGATTTGACAATCAGCGTTTCACGTTCAAAATGTTCTGATGCTTAACAATACGATCAGTTGAAAGCATCTTCCTTAGTTTGTATGTCTTGACAGAATTAGCGACATGCAGGGCATACCTCATTTGAGTTTTGATAATGATTTTGTATGTATGATGCAAACCTTTCTGATGTGTAACGCCATTTTGAGTTAAATGCATCATCTCAGGGAGCTTGTTTTCAAGAAATGTTTGTTCAATTTTGGGGTATAGCTCAGTGGTAGACCATTTGACTGCAGATCATCAGGTTCAAAAATGTTTGTTCAATTTTGGGGTATAGCTGTGGTGACCCTGCAGATCTCAGGTTCAAATTGATTTTTGACAATCAGCGTTTTACGTTCAAAATGTTCTGATGCTTAACAATACGATCAGTTGAAAGCATCTTCCTTAGTTTGTATGTCTTGACAGAATTAGCGACATGCAGGGCATACTTCATTTGAGTTTTGATAATGATTTTGTATGATGATGCAAACCTTTCTGATGTGTAACGCCACTTAACTGAGTTAAATGCATCATCGGGAGCTTGTTTTCAAGAAATGTTTGTTCAATTTTGGGGTATAGCTCAGTGGTAGACCATTTGACTGCAGATCTCAGGTTCAAATCCTGGTGCCCCCTAGGAAATTGATTTGACAATCAGCGTTTTACGTTCCAAATGTTCTGATGCTTTACAATACAATCAGTTGAAAGCATCTTCCTTAGTTTGTATGTCTTGACAGAATTAGCGACATGCAGGGCATACTTCATTTGAGTTTTGATAATGATTTTGTATGTATGATGCAAACCTTTCTGATGTGTAACGCCACTTAATTGAGTTAAATGCATCATCGGGAGATTGTTTTTCAAGAAATGTTTGT